TAGTAGTAGTAGTAGTAGTAGTAGAGTAGTAGTAGTAGGAGTAAGTATTAGTATTAGTAGTCTAGTAGTAGTAGTAGTAGTAGTAGTTATAGTAGTAGTAGTAGTAGTAGTAGTAGTAGTAGTAGTAGTAGTAGTAGTATAGTAGTAGTAGTAGTAGTAGTAGTAGTAGTAGTAGTAGTGATAGGGCAATCCGGGGCTTGGCGGCTGGAAGGGGCCCCGTAGAGGTCTCTCAGAGGCCCATCAGAGGCTTCTCAGAGGCTTCTCAGAGGCCTTCGAGAGGCATCCCAACAGTTTCTCAAGCGCCTCTCAGAAGCACCCCAGAGGCCTCTCAGAAGCCTTTTAGAGACTTCTCAGAGGCTCTTCAGAGGCCTCTCGGAGGCTCCTCAGAAGCCTCTCTGCCCCCTCTCTCCGTCGTCGTCGTCGTCGTCGTCGCGGCAGGAGGGGGATAGGGGGAGGGGAGGAGGAGGGGCGCGTCCGGGAGCAGGGGGGAATGGCAAGTTTTTTGCTCCCGCCCTGGGCCCTGCCCCCCCTCCCCGTCCGCGTCGCACCGGAAGGGCACGCATGGCCAGCGTCGTGAACACCGATCATTTCGGCACCTTGGTCCCGTGCCTGAGGACGCAGAACTTCAGGGGGAAGAGCGGGTCTGTCGACAATGTGACGCGGTCGTCCGAGATCGGCTACAAGGTATTCGGTCATGCGCTCCTGGCCAACATGTCGACCACTGTGTCTGACCTCGTCGAGCGGAAGGTCCAGGATAAGCTCGTCGGCCACATCTCCATGGCCAAGGTCGCTGCAGTAGCGAAGGATATTCACGACGACGTCAAGCTGGTCGTCGGCTGGGAGACCGCGAACATCGAGCGCACAGTGACCGTTCGTTACCTCGGTACCAGGGCGCCAAGTCTCGGTAGGTCGACTTGTAGATGCGGGTCTTCTTTTGCACGCGCCTGCATATTCGTGCCGCTCAACCGGGTATCCGAGTTGGCCCGCGGGTCTGTCTGCCCGGCCCGAGTGGGCTAGGCCCAAGAAGGGGGCGCTCGTCGAACGGCGCAGGAAATCAGGCATGGGCCGAAACGAGGTTTCAGAATTGGTTTTGTTTTTGTAAACGCCCCCTCAGACAAAGCTTTTTGCGAGCGCCTGAACCTATCTGCGTCGCCCGCGGCCTGCCACGCGCAGCGGTCGCGTCAACGCCCTTCCGTGGGTGATTTCGCCCGCGCTTGTTTTGCGACCTACCGAGACTTGCATTGATAGTGGTTTCGGGCCCGCGTGCGTGGTCAAGACCGTGTGGAGCGAGATCCTCCTCAGGATCGATCGCGACTGCCGCGAGATCGGCATGGCCACGAAGGACGGCAACGGGAAGACACTCCTGGTCGACTTCCTGCAGATGCGCGAGCTCGCGCAGGTCCCGGGCGCAGCAGGTCGCACGGTCGACGCGGAGGTCCTCCAGGCTGCCAACAGCGTTCCCATGGCGGCCGACGAGCTCGCGCCGCATACGTCGCAGCTGAACGGGAAGGCGTGCTTGGGCAAGCTTGCCCCCAAGTTGGAGGACTACCTCAGGAACGGCCCAGGCTTTGCACTGGACTACGGCCACGTCGTGCAGTGCGGCTCCGAGGCGGGCTTGCAGAAGCTGAGGGGGCGTTGTCTTGCCCCCCTCCCTACGGCCGTCGGCGACCACAACGTCGCCGTCGCGGTGGACCAGCTCACCTTCGTGAAGCAGTCGGCCGCGCACAGGTTCGTCGACGGCACGGCCGAAGGGCAGGTGAATCTCTGCCGCGAGGTCGTCAGCAGCTTGGGTTCGAATCGCTGACCGAACTACGCCGCGTTCGACTCCTCCGAGTTCATGGCCGACGTCAAGGACAGGCTCCAGTGCTTCGCGCGCGAGACGAAGCCGGGGGAGAACGAGGGCGTCGAGGTGGAGCTCAGCGGCGCGGACGCGCTCACCCACCAGTTCCAGGCGGTCTCGGCGCGCAAGGCCGCCGGTGAGACGGTGCCCGAGCCCGAGCTCCGCATCTCCCACACTTACGCTTGGCTCCTCACCAGCGAGCAGAAGCGGCAGCTGGGCGCGCGGGTGCAGGCTCATTGGAAAGCCGTCGGCGCCCCTCCAGCGAAGGCATCCCTTCCGCAGGGGCCGGCTGCCAAAGCGAAGGCCGGCAGTGCGTCTTCCCCCAGCGCCGGCCCGGCAGCAAAGGCAAAGGCCAAGGCAGACAGCAAGGAGTCTACGAGCTCCTTCTTCAAGAAGAAGACGTCGTAGAGGAGTCATCGGCAGAAGCCGAGCCCAGAAACGCCTGCGACGAGGACGATTAACGTTCGAGCGAGGAAGCCGTGCCCAGAAACGCCTGCGACGAGGACGATTAACGTTCGAGCGAGTTGTGTTAGGTCGCCATGATTCGGGACTGGTTTCTGAGTCGGGGCCATGCTTCGGCACCGCCTAGCTCGCGCTGCTTCCCGCGCGAGCCGCGCAGGGAGTTCGCGGCAGCGCATGGCCGCCTCCCGCCCCCCAACAGGATAAGAGATCCCACTGTGAGGGCGCATTCCCTTGACAAAAAATGCCATCTCCACCACTCTAGCCATCACCAAATAGATCCTGACGCCTCGCGTGCCTTCACCGGCCCACCCAGAGGAGATGCCCGGGCGAATTGCCTTGATCAGGGAAGCGTAGCTGCATGCAGTGCAACATAGGGGCGGACAGCTGTTACTTTTGGAAGGGGGGGGGGGGGGGCGGAGGGGCAAGCAGAGGAGGGGCAGAAGGAAGGGGGGAGCATTAGGAGGAGGAGGAGAGGAGGAGGAGGAGAGGGAGGAGGAGGAGGAGAGGAAGGAGGAGGAGGAGGAGGAGGAGGAGGAGGAGGAGGAGGGGAGGGCAATTAGGTAAACTTTGCCCCGAACGCGTGGCCGATGTGTCTCGCGGGCAAAAGGTCCCCCCTGCCGCCCCCGGCTGGCCGAGTGACTGACTGAGTGTGGACAAACGACCTCTTCTGTCTCTTCTGAGTGGTTGCTGTTTCGGCCACGTTCGCAGGGCAACCCTCCAAGCGAATGCGGACACCTATGTTGTTAAGTCATAGTCCTGGTCGCGTGGCCGATATGTCTGTCGGGCAGAAGGTCCCCCATGTCGCCCCTGGCTGGCTGACTGAACGAATGTGGACATCACCCCTCAGGGGCCGACGTTTCGGCCGCGTCCCAAGACAAAGGGCGTGCGTCGTCGGCCAGCCGGCGCGACGGGCGGCCTGTGCTAGCCCCCAGGATGGTGCAGGGTAGGGCAGGATATTTTCAGGGTATCGGAGGGCCGTTTGCAGGGTGCTGCAGGGTACTGCAGGGCACTGCAGGGCCCCATGCACAGTAGTACAGGGTATTGCGGAGCCTTGGCAGGAGTCTTTGCAGGGTCATTGCAGGGGTCTGTGCAGGGGTCTCTGCAGTGGTCTGTGCAGGGGTCTCAGCAGGCATCTTTGCCGGGTCTTGGCAGGGGGCGTTGCAAGTCATTGCAGGAAGTCCAGGGGAGAAGGCGGGGAAAGGATTTCATGAACAATTGGAAGAACGAGCTTCGCAAACCACCTCGCGAAATCAAAAGGCTGGCGAGGTCCGAAAGAGCCGGGGGGGTGCCCGGGCATTTCCCCGAGGGCCCCCGACGAGAGCCAGGCAGGCCTTCCTCCAGAAGTTCTGCTGCTCCTTCCCTTCCCTCCCACTCCTCCTCCCGCGCCTCCTCCCACTGACACTCCTTCCCGTAAACGCGGGGTCTGGAATGTGAGACTTGCGATTTCCATTGCTCAAGATTGTGATCCTGTCGGTTCCCCTCGTTCAGCGCTGTTGTGCAATCCGGAATGGGGTTGTCCTTGATGGGTCGTTCCAGCGTTTCGCGCAGTCCGCCGACCCTGATCGCGCATTCACTACTATGTGCCTGTTTGCCCACGGGGTTTGGGGAATTGTCGGGCGGCGGCGGTTTCCCCGAGCACCCGCGTGAAACGCGCGTGGGGGGGGGGGGGGCAGTCCTAGAGCAATGTGAGGGCAAAGCTGAAAGGGCCGCACCGTCACCCATGTAACGACAAAGTTCGCTAGCGTGGGTTCCAAATCGGTCAGTCTGGCAGTGCGCCTGAGCAGGCTCTATAGCGCAACCTACGGGGTGGAAACAAACTATTTGAAGCGAGGGGGAGATGTTATACCCTCTTCGCACTCTCTTGGAGTGCTCCGGGGCGTTCCCAGGCCGTCTTCGGGGCCAGGGGAGAGTGCCAAGTCGGCCCCGGTGGGCCCCAAGGGGCACCCCAAGAGAGCCCCAAACGAGATCAGACCAAGGGCCCTTGGTATGATATTGTCTGGGGTCATGGTGGGCTGCTCTTGGGTGCCCTTTCGGGGTTTCCCATGGGGCCCCCCCCAGAGCTGTCCAGGGCTCTCCTGGGCCCTCTTCGGGGCCAGAGGCAAGCCTCAGGAAGGCCCAACAGCCCGTGAGACGGCTCCCACGGCAGCTCGCAAGAGGGCCCCCTGACAATGGCATCCAAAAGAGCTTTCTGGATGCCACTGTCGATGGGGCCCTCTTGGGACCCTCTCGAACCCTTATTGGAGCTCTCGGGGCTGTTCGAGGCTTTCCCAGGCCGCGTTCGGGGCGAGATGAGGGCCCCAAGAAGGCCCCAGGAGGGCTCCGAAATTGCCCCCAAGATGGCCCCCCCAACGTTCTCATACCAAGGGGTCTTGGTATGATTTCGTTGGGGGACCTTTTTGGGCCCCCTCTTGGGGAATCTTTTCGGCAACTTTGAGTTTTCTCGGGGCTGCCTGAGGCCCTCCGAGCCGTCCTCGGGGCCAGATAAGGGTTGCAAATAGGCCGCAAAAGTGCTCCCAAGAGGGCCCCCCAACGATATCATATTGAGGGCCCATGGGGTGATGCAGTTGAAGGCCCTTTAGGGGTCTTTTTCCGGATACCTGTTGGGCAATTATTGGAGCTCTCTTGGGGTTGTCTGGGGCCTCGCTGTGCCGTCTTTGGGGCCAGATGAGGGCTTAGACTACTCTATGAGGTGCAAGCTATGGGATGCGAGCTACGTAGTGCTAGCTATGCGGCGAGACCTGTGTGGTGCAATCTTTGTGGTGCAAACTACGTGGTGAACGCAATGCGGCGAAAGCCCTGTGGGCGCTCGCGGTGAGCCCAAGGGCGCCCTCCACGCGAAACCTCGCCACCCCGCCTGCGCGCGAGGCGCCCGCGGGGCTCCCGCGGGCGCCCGCCAGGCGAAACCTCGCCGCAGCCACCCAGCGCACGAGGGCGCCCGCGTGGCGCCCATGGGCGCCCACCGGGCGAAACCCTACCGTGCCCACCCAGCGATCGAGGCGCCCACGACGTGCCCACGGGCGCTCACCAGGCCAAGCTCCGCCGTACCCGTCCAATAACTTAACAGGAGAAGTACGATTCCTCAGCGCAAGCTCTGTTTGACGGGTAATCGTTCACAGCGCCACGGTTATCGTGTGATTACGTGCCCCGCCGTAGCTGTCGGAGCATACTGGGAGGCTCTTGGGGGTGCCTGGGAGGCTTCCGGGCCATTCTTGGGGGGCTATTGAGGGCTTCTCGAGGCCACTTGGGGGCCTCCTTGGGGCTCGCACGGGGCTCGCGTGGGCTCGCGTGAGGCTCGCGTGGGGCTCCGTGGGGCTCGCGTAGGACTCCCGTGGGTCTCGCGTGGGGCTTGCGTGGAGCATGCTTGAGGCTCGCGCGGGATGGGCGCGGGGTTCGCGTGGCCTCACGCGGGGCTCGCGTTGGGCTCGGCCGAACCCCGCGTGAGTCCGGCGGAGCCCGACGCAAGCCCTGCTGGAGCCCCGCGCGCTCCGACGGAGCCCAACGCAAGCCCCGCGCGAACCCCGCGAGTGACCAGCGTGGACACAGCGCAGACCCAGCGCGAACCCCGCCGCGGACCGTCGGTTTCTGGTGCATACACAGCAGTAGTCGCGTGCCTCCAACGGTAACCGCTTTATACTCGCCATTCGCTGCGAGCGTTAACTGAAGCAGCGGCAGCGTTGACGAACCCGAGTGCGAATGAACATGCGCGCGCGCCCGTTGCAGACGCAGCGGCGCGCGCGCATTCTGGTAGCAAGCTGGCCGCGTTGAAGCCAGCGCCGGCCCTGTGTCCAGGGGGCCATTGCAGCTCGAGATGTGGTTGTTGTCCCCCGCGCACCTGTAAAACGTAACATAATATTTTTAAGCACAATTATGTCCGACATCCTGTCAGGTGGTGGGGCAGCCCGACGGCACGTCCACCGCGACTTCTCTGAGGACAGAATCCAATGCTAATGAGTATGCACTAGTAGGTGCTAGTGGGTGGTCGTCGGCACTAGTAGGTACTACTAATAGCTAGTAGTTTGTAGTAGTAGGTAGTAGTAGGTAGTAGTACATAGTGGCAGGTACTAGTGGGTAGTAGTAGTAGGTAGTAGTAGGTAGTAGTAGGTAGTAGTAGGTAGTAGTAGGTAGTAGTAGGTAGTAGGTAGTAGGCGGTAGCACTAGTAGTAGTAGTAGTAGTAGTAGTAGTCGTAGTAGTAGTCGTAGTCGTAGTCGTAGTCGTAGTAGTCGTAGTAGTCGTAGTAGTCGTAGTAGTCGTAGTAGTCGTAGTAGTCGTAGTCGTCGTATGCGTCGTAGTCGTAGTCGTAGTCGTAGTCGGTAGTCGTAGTCGTAGTCGTAGTCGTAGTCGTAGTCGTAGTCGTAGTCGTAGTCGTAGTCGTAGTCGTAGTCGTAGTCGTAGTCGTAGTCGTAGTCGTAATCGTAGTAGTTGTAGTAGTAGGGCAGTCTGGGGTTTGGTGGCCTGAGGGGCCTCTGAGAGGGCAATCCGGGGTTTGGTGGCCGGAGGGGCCCATCAGAGGCCTCTCAGACGCCTTTCAGAAGCTTCTCACAGGCCCCTCAGAGGCCTCTCATAGGCTTCTCACAGGCCTTTGAGAGGCTCCTCGGAGGCCTCTCAGAAGCCTCTCAGAGACCCCTCTGAGGCTTTTCAGAGGCCCTTCAGAAGCCTTTGAGAGGCCCCTCAGAGGCCCCTCAGAAGCTTCTCGGAGGCCTCTGAGGGGCCTCTGAGAGTCTTCTGAGGGGCCTCCCAGAGTTTCTCAAGCGCCTCTCAGAAGCCCCTCCGAGGCCTCTCAGAGGCTTCTTAGAGGCCTCTCAGAGGCCCTTCAGGGGCTTCTAAGAGGCCTCTCAGAGGCCTCTCAGAAGCCTTTCACAAGCCCCCTCAGAGGCGTCTCAGATGCGTCTCAGAGGCTTTTCGAAGGCCTCTCAGAGGCTCTTCAGAGGCTTCTCAGAGGCTCCTC